CTATCTATCTATCTATACATATAATAAAATTGTAGAAAAGTGCTGTCTGTACATTGAAAATAAAAATAAAAAAAATAGCAGGGGCTATTGTTATGTCGATGTCGAACCCAAAAATGTAACTAACTTTTTTTTTGTCTGTTTGTCTGTTTGTCTGTTCACGCTAATCTCAGAAATGGCTTATAAATATATATATATTTAACAGGGTGCGGAAAAGGTGATAGTGGTTTTATTCCTCAGATTCCTCTCATTCCAAAAAATTTTCCGTTTAATTTTAAACGAATTCAGTTTCCAGTGAGCCTATGTTTCGCCATGACAATTAATAAAGCTCAAGGTCAGACTCTAAAAGTTTTGGGTATAGATCTAAGTATCAGCTGTTTTTCTCACGGTCAATTGTATGTGGCTCTGTCCCGTGTTATCAATCCCAGCAGCCTGTATGCTTTCACCCCCGATGGCCATACGTTTAATATTGTATATAGAGAAGCATTACAGTAAAGTATGTTTTTTAGCTACCCAAAATGACTGTGATTATGATCCAAATCTAAAATAAAAATAAGTATATATTTAAAAAAAAACGCTGCCATAGTCACTATTCTACGCGAAGTCGCGGGCACAGCTAGTTTCAAATAAACTCGTCGCTGTATGTATTGAGTAATCAATTACCGCTAGTAAGCATACTGTTTTATGTAATTAGATATTAACAAATTGATTTACTATCCACAATTGATATTGATAGATTTCTTCAATAATCCACAGTTGCACAAATGCTCCAGAGAAAAACTTTTTCATCTGTTTCCCATTATCAAGATGTAATCTTTTAACGAAAGCCATCTGAGATAAATCTGTTTAGGCCCTCATTTTCTGAAAATGTGTGGATAACCGCAAATCATTGAATCCATTTGGAATCCTCTGGGATTGTAAATAGTGGAATTCTTATTGCTTTGCTGCCTTGTTGGTTGACTATAAAGTCTTTCGATCCTTGGGTTTGGATAAACATTGTAGGTTTGGTCGAGACAAAAAAACTATCGGTAAGTAATATATATATTACCGAATTCAAAATTGGGCTCAGAATTAATGATGTTTATTCTACGAAGATATTAGATCAGATAGAAATTTGAAGTGGTAAACAAGTACATCAAAGGTAAAATAAAATGATATTGATTTGTTTATTTTTATACCTGTGTAATTACAAATCTGCGCCTCAAAATACGCATCGGCGGACGCCGTCACTGGGCTCGAATTTTTAAAAGGGTATCTCTCCAGTCTCCCGTTACGATATAAATACACCAGCAGTCGTATGTATCTCCGAATCGAAATCCAAATTGTATGGGTCTGACATTCGTTTTCTCACTGAAATGTTTCTCCAAAATAAGTCCTACCTAGATAAATAAATATCCTTCCAGGCCATGCGAGTTCATTATTGCGATATCATTGAAAGTATTTTCGTGTCAGTAACCGCTGCTTTGTTCTAACTAACACCCAATTTAGTTTATACATTTGCTTTTGATTAAAGATAACCAGAAGACAAAAGTTTTGGCATCTTTCCATATTGTACCTTACTACTGCAATAGTATTGTCGAACATGATACACTACGCGACGGTACATCACCTACAAAAGGTTACAACAATTCAATTTTACGTAAGTGGGCACTGATTCACCGAAACAATTATATATTTCGCTCAATAATCCAATATCCTTTCGATAAATGTGGTTTCCCGAATTGTGCCCTTATTACCGACGCACAACACGAACAAAATTAGAAGTTTCATAACTAAACATTGCGCACATGTGCTTTGTTAGCGTTACTCACGACATGATCGTATTTTTTATCACGAGTGTTCTGAAGTAGGCAATCTGTGTGTGTATGAAATCTGCAGAGAGATTGCAAGCGTATAGTAAGGAGGAATGCACTGACCAATGTGAGCCGCGCCGATGAGGCGGGATCGATCTAGCGCGGCCGGGCTGAGCCGGCCATCGGGACTCCCGCTCGGTACTCCTCGGACGCACTGCACTGCACTTTACTCTCCAATGTTATCTTCCAAACGTCAATCACTATATTATCACACATTTACAATAAACGTCAATATTTCCTGACTGGTCTTGTTAGGTAAGGTCTAGAACAAAACAAAAAGTAGAGAGAACTAGCACAGTGTGGTATTGAAACCTGAATTACAAATACGTTCAATGTACATGTATCGATTTAGATATCAGATGGAGATAGTGGTCCGTATCTGCGATAAGTTCGGGGACTAATGACTGAGGATTGTGTAGAATGCTGTTGCTACAGATTGGCAAAATAATCCTGCCAGGCCTTCCAGCTTTTTATACACTTTAATTGTATTTAGACAAGACAAAGTTAAAATAAATTTTGTTCAGAGCTACTGGACTGTTTTTATCGCATGTTGTATATAGATAAACGTTACATTTTCAAGTACCTGAACAAGATAGCGCGTGTAACAATGCAGGTATGCAGCAGATAGTAGGGATCTCTTTAACTGTGATGGATTGCAGCTCCACCTATAATAGACTGATCCCTGTATCAATTTGCATCAGTATCTAGACTAGACTTAGTATGTGAAGCTCACGTGAAAGAAAACGTAATTACTAACTAGGTATGCCCATATTAATTTTAATTACACAGAGTCTGATAAACAACCTTGATAAAATCCCATACATTCACTAATTAGGTATTATTTCCTAAAGCTATGTAACAGTTCCATACAACTAGGACAAATCACAATTTAATTTTCCTTGTGAAGATATCAATATCTTATCACAATCAAATTTCGTTTCATAAAAAATGTAAACCGCTATCTGTTATTCAAAACTGGCCGAAAAAAAAATCAAAGATAATGTCTCTGGGTTCCGTTAACAGTACCATTGTGCAAATAGTCGATGAGTGGGAACCTCAAACCGTAGTCCTCCTAAGGGACGTAATGATTTCCTCGCAAATTGAACTGAGAACGAAATATTCAAATAGTACCCTCCCTAACGTCCCAATTTTGTTACAAACTTTTTAAGACACGAAGCAATAGCTACAACGGTCTTTACTTAAGACTTTTTATGCTTATTACAACTTTTACCCAAATTGTAGACACTTTTACCGCGAGGAAGTCGGATGCGATACGTAAAGCAATTCGAGAAAAAACAATCATTCGACAACTCCTCCTTTTTTTGAAGTAAGTAATTAAACAAAAATGTATTATTGGAAATACGTTCTATAAATATTAGGCTAAAACTACAGGACGAACATTTTTCATTAGAACCTTTAAAAACACTTGGAATACCAGAGATTCTGTGCGACTATCGAGAAAACGGTAAAATGTTATTTTACAAAATAATTCACCGTTTACTAGTCTTTAAAAAGATAAAAGAAGCGTATCAATTTGCTGTAAGTGATTAAGTGTTTGCAGCCTTCTGAGAATACCCCTCAGTACATAAAACACTTTTGTGAAATAACATGAAAATTATAGGTACATAAAACGCTGTCTTCAGCGCAAAAAGTAGGTGTCTCTCACAGGCACTTACAATAATGTGATAATCGTTCAAATACGTTTAGAATTGTTTTCAAAATAAACCTTAATATTTACTAGTTAAAATTAACTTTCGAATAAAAATAATCACACTTTTTAAATAAAATAAAATTAGATTATCACCTGTAAATTATTAACGTGTAAATGAACTAAATTGTAGCTGTTTTTAAATACTACTTACTACCTATTTAATTATAATTAAATGCTTTCAATACTTGTGATACCTAGGATTTTTTTTTCTAAACTATGAAAAGCGTTAAAACATATGTAATTTACTATTCTAGAGGTACTGAAACTTTTACTGAGTAGAAAGGTTTATAAATAAAATAACTAATTCACTAAGTATAACTTCATGAAATACTTACACTAACGAAGACCAGTTTAGAACATATGACTTTTTGAGAAATAAAAATCCAAAACAACAAACTTATAAGCACTTTTAAAGACTTTTATGATTTCGCGAAAAGTCCAAGAAGTTAAGCTTGCATCAAAATATTTGTCTTTAAAATTTTATGTCGAAACTAGTAGCGCGAAGATTTATGTGATGTATTGATACAGTGCACGTGTTTTGAACCGGAAAAGTGTATGTGTATGAGAGTGGCACGGCGACGGCGGCGTCGGCGGCGCGGTGACACAGACTGGCTCGGCCGGGCCGGGCCGGGGCGCCGGGCGCGCGGTCGGGCGGCGCGCAACAGATACGCCACAGGTTGGGCGGCCCGGGCACCCGCGCCCACACCCACCCGCTCGCGCCGCACACGCCAATTTACATCCTCATTATCGTCTCCGGAGTCAGCACCTCATGCTGGCGTCCGTCACCACATCACTCGACGGCTTTTCCCAGTAAAACTCTCCTCGTACCTTATTCAGCAAAATCTAATAAAGCGTTTATTTGGAAGCTTACAATTTTTCTTTGTGCCAGCTACTTTCTCAGAGTTTTATCGGATTTGTTTTGTTTCGTTACTTCGAATTATTCTGATATAATTTTGTTTGTTTAGGAAATCCCTTTGAGGATAAAACATTAGGCGCCTTGCTACATGAACTTCTCTTTAGGGAGAAAAGTCACTGAAAGTCAATAGATATTATATACTTACAGTTGTTCCGTAAAACAGAACATTCCTATTCAAAATCTTTGAAAAGATTTAATATCTATTTCCGATATCTCTCAGTAGTATACCTCAGCAATGGTAATAAATAAACCATTGAATAATTTTATGATGCCTTTAATAGATTAAGATAATATATTCTGAAAGTTTTATTGTGTCATAAAAGCTGGTATTCGCAGTGTTAGTGTCGCTACTACTCCAATTGAGAATGTTGAACACTAAAAAGAATTATAGAAATAAAACTTTCAAAAGACTTAATGGTAAGTACCTACCTTTTTGTACGTTGTAAGGAATGCATAATTGTATAATGGATCGAGCATCGCTTTGTATTCAAGGGACCGCATTGTTGACGCTGTGTCTACTTAAAAACTTCTAATTAATTTGGTAGGCAGACTTGTTGGCAAATTAATTTCAACTTATAAGTTAGAAAAAGGAACTGCGTGTGAATAACTAATTGTAATTGCTGACATTGTGTGGTCTTGTTCTTTAGTTTTCGTTTGAATATCAACTTTTTAAAGAAGGACAGAGATGAAAAATCTCTCGTTATGTCGTAGCTCCGTACCCACGAGATTCTATCTTTCTTCATCTTCAGCTTATAGAGGAGCTTCTCTATGACAACTCACAAAACACTATACCTTACCTTCCGCATTCAATCACTGTTCCTTCCACATTACCTTCACCTAGATGCGTATTTGAGCAATAAACAAACTAGGTACTCATTTGGTCACATGAAGCGTTGTCACGTCAGAGTTCTAATTAATTTGGTCTAAGTAGTGCCTACTGTATGAACATTTAATGTCGAGTTATGTTCAAAATGGAGAAACGTTAAGTACATTTTCTTTCTAAAATTACAGTTGAGACTGAGACAAAGGCGGTGGAGTTACGTCTACACTTAATGAGCAAAATTTTCACAATTTCATATTTCAGTTCTATCCTCATGTGTCTCATTACCTGTATTCAGAAAATTTTCCGTGGAAAATTACTTAGGTAGATGTCAAATGAGATCTTTATTTCAATTTTTTGTCAAAGTGCTCCAAGACAAAGGCTGAAATTAACCGCCACGCCAAGTCATTACGGTACTCAAAGTCGAGCCGTTTAGTATCCGCAAGTCACCGTCTCAATCTTTACAAAGTTGTTTTATAACAAAAAGGTAATAAATCCTTTTCTTAGCTTATGCAATATTTTTCAATTAACAGATGTCACAAAGCACCGAACGTTATGACTCGTAAAATCGAAACTTTCTAAAATTCTTAGGGTAGTTACGTCGTGTTCCCAATGTCTCAGTTACGAACTTAATAAAATCTTTAGAATCATTCCTTTTTACTACTTATTTCTCGTCAAATTCTTTACTTTCCTACGTAAACTCTGGTCCAATTAAAAATAACTAGAATTTTATTTGGTCGTTCCATTCGTCGACGTAACTAAAAATGTTCGTTAACTGTAGACGAGGCAAGCTAAGCCGCGCGTGTTCCGTGCAGCTGTTTGTTAGTACTCACAAGTTTCACAATAATGTATTTGCGTGTTTGAATTTAGTATAGAGTACAGAACTACTTGGGATCCCTTTTGTCCTTAACCCTGCGGCGGAATAATGTGTAACCATCCATATCATGACAAAGTATACGCGTGTTTGCACAGGTAGTAGTCACAATCGTCTATTTCTGAAAAGCTCATGAGATTTATGTGCGTTTTATAAATGGCTTTTTTAAGCGAAAAGGGTAGATGATCGGAATTATTCTTTCGGAATTCATTGAGGATAAGAAGAATTGTGAGCCATTAAGGGTATCTTAAGTTGATACGTAGGTAATTTACCATTTTGTTCGCAACCAACTAGGAGCTTCGATAAAAAAACATGCCCTAGAAAGTACTTCTAGTGTAAAGTGTAGTGTTCACGGACGTTTGCGTCCTGTCAACTTGCGTATCTTTTCATAGCATTATGTAGATAAAAATAGAGTTCATAATAGCACGTGTGGCGTGATTGATAGCATAACAAGCTCTGTTACAGTTTCTACGCTTACTGAAGCTTCCCTTTATGCAACGTAATAAATGTTTGTAAATATGAACACAAGACGCGTCTGTGTATACGTATGTTCATAAAACGTGTTTGCACTCACTCTCTAGAAGCTTTTATGAAGAAAAACATCGTATTTTAATAAATATTGGAAGCTGGGCTCAGTATATACAGAATTTAAGTATCGTTTTAATTTGTCTGCAGTAAATTCCTTCGCTGCTGGTATCTAACTTAGTATAGGGTAAATTATGGTAACGCTAATATGATTTCGCCGCCGCCGCTATCAAATCCGAGCAAACTCGAGGTCATCTCGCCACAAGTGCTTGCATTGGGCTCTCATGTCGATAAAGGCTCTCCGTAAGATTGTAGGCGTATCGATTTCCATTACGAAAACACAGTAATGGACCAAATGCGCGGACGATAAGAGTATTATTACGGGATTTTTCACGTTTCGGAGTCACGAAGTCACGGAAAATAGAACATGTCAAAGTGAGTGAACGAGCCGTTTGAGTGAACCCACTCGATAAAATGAATTGAAAACGTTGGTCAGTGTGTGACGGCGACTCGCTTTTTGAGAGCACTGACGTTAACGTTGGGTGCACTTTAATTTAGTTATTCATGAAGTTTACAGTAAATAAAGTCTAGTATTCCAAGTTAACGTAATCCGCAAATAGCATTCTAAGTAAGTATTTTTGCTTCTTTATTACTGGAAATACAATAATTTCATACCTATTACTATTCGGAATCCTATCCAACATTACGTGACCCTTTTTTCGTACCGTAGGTTAATTATTAAGTACTGAGAATACTTTAGTAATAGCCACAAACATTAAATATCATTTACAAATGGCAATCACACCATTTAATAAAGCGACAGACCTCATATTTTATTGTTAATCAAAGTAAACTTTCCTGAAAAGGAATAAGGGTGACAATAGCGTGTGTTTTGTTAAGGTACCGTAACACACAAGGCCTGTGTATGAAGCCTTCGGTCCTCATATCATTAATCAGGGCATTGTTACAACATCCACAATAGCATTCAGCTACCGGATTACTTCCTCAAGCATTCTTTCTGTATTTTATGGCGTCGTTCTGCCGTTAAAAATAACAGCCATCACACTTTATCTGACGTCAAAAGCGGGCCTTTGTTCCCGGTCATCGAAAACAGCTGAGAAAATTGGGTCAAAGTAATCATGTACTGATGTACCTGTAATGTATTGAACTTTCTGATTCCCTGTTGTTGAACGAATGTTCGGAACGTGATCTTTCATTCATCTTTAATAAGTTTCCGATATAAGATACAACGGCATCTTGTTTGTTTTCGGAGAAAAATTATGCAGAGTTTAATGTCTAAAATGCGATGATCAGCATTTTCAATTTTAAAATGTTAATAAGTAATCAGCTATTCAGAATAAATTACCTCGTTGTGGGCGAGAAATTGTGTCCGATATATGGCTTATAGATACAGGTGACATTTAAAAAACGTAGTCAAGAAAGTTGTACAAAGTTATCGTTTGCTCGCTCACATTCTCTCCTCTTCTTAAGTTTGTAGTATCAACCGCTTGATTTACAGGACAAATGTTTAGTACAATTTTATAATGAAAGTAATTAGGAAAGCTAAATGTGTTTCTTGCTTACTATTTGGAGCGTAGACTTTAGTCTTATCTAAATTTGAATTTAAATTATAAAACAGATGGCTTTATATCGTCTTTAGTTACACATATGACAGAAACGTGAAGCTATTTACAAATTAAATAAACTTCCACCATTATTCATCATTTCAGTCGATTTTTATTCACTACTCAGTTCTTAGTAGAAGCTTAGTTCCACATCTGTTTGTTATACTTCCCTGTTTTGTGTATTGACATAATATAACATATCTTTTAACCCCGAATGAGTAGGCAGAGGTGCACATTACGGCACTTAATGCAACTGTACAATGTAACACCCACTTTTCACTATTTATGTTATGAGTCACATGTAAGCCTTTTACCATATACCGGGCATGTTTCCAGACTCCGTACTACTACTGAGATTTTTTTTAAAACCAGTAACACTTTGCCGACCCGGTAATCGAACCCCTTGTCCGGTAGTCGCACTTGCGATCACTCGTCACTAGTGAGAGAGTTTTGTGTATTGTTTATCCGTCTAATTTACAAATGGTCTGTCAACCTTTTGAACGGCCTTGATTTCCACTGACCACTGACTACCGGTTAATCGGTGACCGAATAGTCAAAACTACAATATAAAATAATACAGATATACTTACTTATCAAACCCTAAGGCTATACTAGAAAACTCTCATTTCCCTGCAACTTGATTTTTCGTTTCTTCGACCAGTCAACCTACGACCTTCTGTTTTAAGGCTAACATCTGAATACACTAATTAAGTAGTGGTACTAGTAGACCTTGTATTTATATATAGGTAAGAGTATTAACTAAAAATGAAGGTGTACTCACGTAAATATACTGAGGAAAGCTCTACTAGTTTCGAGTCAC